TCTGTCTCAAAAATAAACAAACATTAAAAAAAAATTTTTTTTAAGAAACTCTGCTGACTGAAGGAGCAGGAAAATGATACAACTGTGTTAGGGGCCCACACTACTGCCCCCACCTGTGTCCAATTACTGTTGCTGCACCTGCTCCCCCATCCTCCCTCCAATCATTTTACTTCCTACTTCTCTAAGGAGATAGAAACAAGAAGACAACTCCCACACACACCCCACATCTACCAATTACCTGCAATCGTGTCCATACACTCTACCTTCCCTCCTGTGCTCATAGAGGGACTGTCCTTGCTCCTAGGGCCAACCCATCCACGTGGGCCTCACTCCAATTGTCCTGCTCTCTTCCATCTGCATTATTCCCTTCCTAGTGAAGCATTCCCACCAGTACACAAATCTCTGCAATACCTCACAGCTTCAATTTAAAAACGGGAAAATCTCCTGAAATCCCATGTCAGCCTCCAGCTATCATTTCGTTTATCTGCTTCCCTTTGTAACTGAACTCTTTGAAAGAGTGGAATATATGCACAACCTTAATGCCTCTCCTCCTATTCTCTCTTGATCCTACCCTGATCAGGCTTTCATGCCCACCATCCCTGGGAAACAGGTCTTATCCAGATCACCAAGGACCTCCGTAATCCTCAGTCCTCATCCTGACCATAAGCAGATTTTGACATGGTTGCTCACTCCATCCTTCTTCAAACACTCCTTCATGTCTTGCCCCAGGCAGAAATTTTACTGGGCAATCCACCACCACCAAGTTACTACTGCAGCCCAGCGGCTGCCTCCACGTACCCAGAAAGGTCGATCTGTGACACGGTACCCTGTCCACTTACCAGAGCCCAGCAGCTGAGTGTGCACAGTCTCATGGAAAATGATAACAGCAGGGCCCAGGGTGGACAAGGGGACATCCAGGCCACAGCGGGCAGTGGTAGCCTTGAGCTCCTTCGTGAAGTGTTTGAGATAAGCTTCAGAGGCATCCCCAAGGAACTTGAAGAGGTCATTATGCAGCCGGTCTGCGTGAGTTCGATAGATGACGAGGTCTGAGATGGCCAGGACCTTAAGCAGCAGTCGTGTTCTCTGGCTGAGATTCACCGTAGCCCCCAAGAGCCCTTCTGTGTCTATCACTGCTACTTTGTGGACTGGGTCATAGGCTGCCCACACTCCCACGGTGCAGGACTCCTGGGCAGGGGACGTTTTGAAGACTTCGCGACCATAAAAGAAAGTATGGTTGAGAGTATGAGACTTTCCATCACCAGTATTTCCAAAAATAGAAACCACCTTCAGATGCTGATCAGGTTTGCAGTCCAATTTCCTAATAAAGTCTTCTTCATTCGTTACCTTCAAAAAAAATAAATAAATAAAGGAATATAAAATGCATACTAGTTAGAAAACCTGCAAGAACAACTGCTTCTCAAAGTCAAGGTCCTTGAATGGACTGTCCAGGTGGCAAGGAAAAAAAAGCCCCAGGATGACAGCCTCCCACCCAGCCTAACCCGCAGAAAACAGCTAAGAACTTTCAAACCCTCAGGCAGTACAATTTAATGCTCGTGAAAAAGCTACAACTATAAAACTCTCAGAAGACATAGGAGCAAATCTTTGTGACCCTGGATTAGGCACTGGTTTCTTAGATATGACATTTAAAATCTGTATTCTGCAAGGATACCATCAAGACAGTGAAAAGAAAGCCCAAAGAATGGGAAAAAGTATTTGCAAATCATTTCTCTAATAAAGGACGAGTATTCCAGAATATTTAAAGAACTCCTGGGGTGCGTGGGTGGTTCAGTTAATTGTCTGACTCCTGGTTTTGGCTCAGATCATGATCTTAACGGTTTGTGGGATCAAGCCCCGCGTCTGGCTCTGAGCTCTCCCTCTCTCTCTGCTCCTCCTCCACTCGCACTTTCGCTCTCAAAATAAATAAGTGAGCTTTAAAAAAAATAACAACACAGGGGCGCCTGGGTGGCTTAGTGGGTTAAGCATCTGACTTCAGCTCAGGTCATGATCTCAATCTGTGGGTTCGAGCCCTGGCTGAGCTGTCAACACAGAGCCTGGAGCCTGCTTTGGATTGTCTCCCTCTCTCTCTGGCCCTCCCCGGCTTGTGCTCTGTCTCTCTGTCTCTCTCTCAAAACATAAACACTAAAAAAAAAAGGTTAAAAAATAAACAAACAAACAAATGAATAACACAAATCTTCACGTACTTATTAGGGGTGCCTGGCTGGCTCAGTCGGTGAGCATATGCAACTCCATCTCGGGGTCGTGAGCTCAAGCCCCATGTTGGGGGTTGAGAGTACTTTAATTTAATTTTTTTTTTTCAACGTTTATTTATTTTTCGGACAGAGAGAGACAGAGCATGAACGGGGGAGGGGCAGAGAGAGAGGGAGACACAGAATCGGAAACAGGCTCCAGGCTCTGAGCCATCAGTCCAGAGCCTGACGCGGGGCTCGAACTCACGGACCGCGAGATCGTGACCTGGCTGAAGTCGGACGCTTAACCGACTGCGCCACCCAGGCGTCCCGAGAGTACTTTAAAAAAAACACAATGACAACACTGGTGGGAATATGGAGGAACCGCACTGCTTATGCACTCACTGCTGGTAAGAATGTAAAATGGCACAGCCACTCTGGAAAACAGCATGGCAGTTTCTCAAAAAGTCAAACACGGAGTTACCATACATATCAGTAATTCCACTCCTGGGTATGTATCCAAGAGAACCGAAAACATATGTCCACACCAACCTGAACATTGGATGTTCGTGGCAGCAGCAAGATTCCTAAGAGCCAAAAGGTGGAAACAACCCTCATGTCCATCAACCGATGAATGGATAAACAAAATGTGGTGTGTATCCATAAGATGGAGTATTATTATTCAACCATGAAAAGGAATAAAGTACTGACGCATGCTACAACATGGCCGAACCTTGAAAACATCCTGCTAAGTGAAAGAAGCCAGACACAAAAATACTACATATTCTATGATTCCGTTCATATGAAATATCCATGATGGGCAGATTCATAATAACAGAAAGTATATTACTGGTTGCCAATGGCTGGGGTAAGGAAGGACTAGGGAATGACTGCTAATGGGTATAGGGTTTCTATTTGAGTGATAAAAATGTTCTGGAATTAGTGTTAAGGATTGCACAACTTTATAAATGCACTAAACACTGAACTATATACTTTAAAAGGGTAAAATAGGGGCGCCTGGGTGGCTCAGTCAGTTAAAGCGTCGACTTCGGCTCAGGTCATGATCTCACAGTTCGTGGGCTCAAGC